CCGATTTCTTCTGTTCTCAGTGAAGTAGGAAGGATCACCAGCCAGAAGTGAGGCAGGGAGAAATCATTGGGGTATTGAGGAAGGAGAAGCCGTGAGGTCATCGTTGAAGACAGCGGAAGAGCCACTGGACAGGAGTGTGTGGTATGATTGCCGGCAGCCTTCCGGTCCTACTTCAGGTTCACAGTCAAGGGTTTGAAGTGAGAGCACTGCGAGTTTCTCCAGCATGATCGGTGGTGCAGGTGCAAAAGTGGAATAGGTGGAGGGTTGGATTTTGCAAGTGAGTGTGACAAAGCACGAGGGGTACAAACAAGTTAAGGGTACATGTAAGGGAATGCTTTATAATGATTGATCATGGAACTTAGCTGGAAAAGAAGGGGCTGAGGATGTCAAGGGTGAGGAGCAGAGGAAAGGTGCTTGCTCCCTGCTGGGGTTAATGCTTGCTGGGGTCGGGGTGTTAAAGGGGGCACGCTGGAAAGACAGGAGGTGGTGGTCAGCTAGTGGGGTGCATTTCATGCAGCCTGTATTGGGGGCTGCAGTGTGGGGCTGACAGGATTGGGGTGTGGCCGCAGGCATGATTAGCTGAGGTGAGTGGGACATAAGAGGGGAGGAGTTCAAGGAACCAAGAGGACAGGATATTGGAAGGAGTTTTATGTGTATCTTGTGTATATTTAATCCTGGAGACATGACAGGAAGAGAGAGAGCAGCAGAGAGCCAGGAGCTAAAATCCAAGAGAATCGGGGCGTTGGTAGACAGATAATGGGTGATTTCACCTGAGGCCTGAGATTCAGAGCTGGTGCTCTCTTTCCCCTTTTCAGGCTTGCCGTATCCTTGGACAAAGAAGAGAAATAGAGAGGGACAAAGGCAGCAGCAGAGTTGTCCTTTAATGATCCCTGGGCTGTCATCGTCAGCTTAGTATTGTAGTTGGTTCTTTGCTGTGAGACCTGGGGCTGGGTTCTGATCCTTCTTCAGCAGGCATGGTGAGAGAAGCCTGAATCACATATGCTCAGCTGATGGGTAAGATAGAAATGCTTTTTTCTCAATCACAGTAGAAGTGGTAGATATATAAACCCTATTCTCATTAGGTTTATAACCAAATAGTTTGCTACCTATTATTTTCTATCTCATCCATTTTCACATGTCCCTTGGCCACAGTAACCTGCTGGAAGAGGGAATTCCATCATGCACAACTCAGGGGAAGAAACATCCACTTTAAAAAGTGTCTGTGCTCCAGTGTGTGTTGACTAAACATAGATCTCTGGATCTGTGCCTGGGATCAGAATGTTGCCAAGTACCTCTGAATGTTCTTTACTCAACCAGTCTTGGGCTCGCTTTACTCCTTTTCTCATGATTTTAAGAAGCTTATAAGAAGTTTTAACTTCTGTGTTTGTGAATTTGTTCTTGTTTTGTAGGTGAAAATTACCAGTTCAGGCCTGCTCAGTGTCGTATCTATCACAGAAAGATATAATTGCCAGTATCCAGAAACCATTCTATCTATTATCAAATGTGTGATTCATAACCTTTGGACACCAAAGGAGTCTAATGATATAACCATAACCATCAATCCATATGGGGAGACTGTGTGCTTCTCTGTGAAGCCTGCCAGGAAGATATTTATCTATACCGTAAGCGTGAATCGAAACAGTAAGTCTCTTTTTATTATACTTGATTTCTGGAATCAGTTTTTCTGGAGTGACATTTCAGTAAATTGACTTTTTTTCACTAACACTGCATTGACACAGAATCTTTGTTTGTTGTGTGTCTGTGTCTTTTTTGCTCCAGTTGTGGATTTCAGACTCTTCCTTGTGTTTGTGTTGGGCATTTTCCTCTTCTTTTATGCAAAGACCTTGAGTCAGTAAGTATTCATTTGTACTTTCTTAAATTTGTGAATCAAAAAAAGTAGGACATTTTTGACCCTGTGCTGAATATTTCCACACTAGTTTGTAGGCCTTGCTTTAGATTTTGCAAACAATTGGTCTGAAGACAGTGTTTGAACAGTTTTAAAACCCGTAACATTTGTTTGTATAGTATGATATGTACTGGTTACAGAGTACTTTCACATGCATTACTTTGTATTACGTATCAATATACATTTTCTTAATAGATTTATTTTATTTTAATTAATTAATTTATTTTTTGGCTGTGTTGGGTCTTTTGTTGCTATGCGCAGGCCTTCTCTAGTTGCAGCTAGGGGGGCTACTCTTCGTTGTGGTGCTAGGGCCTCTTATTGCGGTGGCTTCTCTTGTTGCGGAGCACAGGCTCCAGGCGTGCAGGCTTCAGTAGTTGAGACACACGGGCTTCAGTAGTTATGGCTCATGGGCTCTAGAGCGCAGGCTCAGTAGTTGTGGTGCACGGGCTTAGTTGCTCTGTGGCATGTGGGATCTTCCCAGACCAGGGCTCGAACCTGTGTGCCCTGCATTGGCAGGCGGATTCTTAACCACTGTACCACCAGGGAAGCCCCTATACATTATTTTAATTGATTTGATTCTCTTAACAACTATGTGAGCTCTGGATTATTGTTCTGAATTTATAAATGAGAAAACCGACATCCGTCATTACATGAGTAGTCTTGCCAGGGCTGAAATTTATACTCAGGTTTTCTGATGCTGGGTGCCTTCCTCTCTCTTAGATTTGCACCACGCCCTAGATTTGTGGCTCTGATACAGAAGGTTGAATTTAACATATTATCCTGATACTTTTTTTCTTATAACTTCTCTCATGAAAAAGGAATATCTTTCCAATAATATTTTACTTCTTGACTTGCTATTCTGGACATTATTTATTTTCAAGTTTTTCCTTATGCCTTACGAGAGTGTGTTTCATGTCCTCCATGGTCTTAATAAATTGGATGTTGCTTACATAGCCTGAAGAGTAAAGCTTGGACTCAGAGGAGATGGGCTGCAGGCCTGAATCCTCCAACTGGCAGGTACTGACTTGGGAAAGCCTTTAATTTCTTGGCACCTTAGTTTCCTCCCATGTAAAATTTAGACATGGATAGCTGTTTCACAGGACTCTTGTGAGAGCATGTTAAGCTCTCAGACAAGTGCCTGCTATGTGATAGGTGCTCCAATAATTATTATTGGACCAGATTCTAAACATAGCAGATAACTCAGACATTCTGTTTCGAGTTAGTGGCAAGCTATTTACCATAAATTTCAAGTAGAGATTTCATTTTTTAAGAGTATAGGATGTAATTAAAGCTGCCATCTGAGTTTTTCTTCTTAATAATCTTTATGACTACTGTCAAGTTAAACATGTTTCTAATACTGAAAGAGCGACTTGGCATTTAAATGGCTTTTATCTGCTTGTCTTGACAGGAGCCCTGTTTTCTTTTACTCTTCGGGGACTGTGCTAGGTATTCTAATGACATTAGTCTTTGTCCTGTTGCTGGTGAAAAAGTTCATTCCTAAGGTAGGTATACCATGTACAAATGAATAAAAAAATGGAAACCATGATCTCATAAACATGAAAAATTGATTAAAATGAATTCATGCTTATTATGAAAGTTCCTAATTCAAACTGTATTTCTACATTGTATAAACTGGCTTAAATTGTATCTTTTCCAAGAGATTCCATTTTTATTTATTACTATGTGTAGGCTTAAGTATTAAGTTTTGGCGATACTTTTTTTGAGACCCTTTTATTTTCTAGATAATACGTTTTTCTTATGAGTGATGGGGGCTTATTCTATGCTCAGTGCAGGTTTCTCTTGGCTCAGCTGAGGAATGTCATGATGCTGAACCACTGGGGCCTTGAATAACAGCATTGCTACATCTGGGGATTTCTTCATCATTATTAGTTCCCCCAAAACACCTTCAATAAGAGAACGCCCCGCATTTAGTTGAGGACACATATATATTAGTTCATGATGCTCATGTTGGAGCTACTCTGACGAAAGCTTGCAACACCAGCATTATTTTGAGATAAATTTATTCTTCAGAACAGTGCTTCTCCAACTGTAACGTACATGCAAGTCACCTGGGGGTCCTGTTGAAATGCAGACTCTGATTCAGGAGTCTCAGTGGGCCTGAGAGTCTGCATCCCAGCAAGCTCCCAGGTGACATCGAAGCTGCTGGTGCATGGATCACACCTTTAACAAGACACAAGAAGAGTATCTTGAGTTGACTTCAGTGCAGTTTGATATAGAAGTTTTGAATACAGAGGGTTTATTTGTTTATTTCTATTTTTATGAGAGTGAATGAACCAAAAACTGTCATTTATTTTCTTCCACACACAGTATAGCACGTTTTGGGCTCTAATGGTTGGTTGTTGGTTTGCTTCAGTTTATATTTTGTGGCAACTGATGGAAGAGCTGAAGTGGCTGTGGTGTGAAAACAGAATATATATATTAGGTAGGTAAAGCTTTAAATAATATGGTCTATTATTGGTAAAGCTGAGAAGTACAGCCAGGGGCCTTCTTTTGACATACGTTTCTCTCCAGAATCCAAATTTTCATTTTGAACTAAGGAGAAGAACTGTTAAAAATACTATTTTATTTTATTCCCATGCTTGGTGATTTCAGTTCACTAGTTCTCATTTTAGACTATTTCTGTATGACATCCTTCTTAGTTTTCTATACTAATGATCAAAAGAGCAAAAAAGCATTTGCCCTGTTTGACTGCATGTGCTTTTGAGTTGTGGTTAAGCTCTAACCACATCTAAATTGTAATGAAAACACTTCTCTAAAATGTGGCTCTTTATTTCTTTTTCTTAATTTATTCAGTATAAAAGGTGAGAAGTCCTAAATATAAATGACTAATGAAAACTTGACTTTTCAGAAACAGAGACACTTGTTCTTCTTGTTTGATGTTATTTTAAAAAACAAGCAAAAAAGAAAAACCCAACTTTTTAACGTGTTTTATTTGGGAAATTATAGAGAATGGGAGAATCAATTTTCTCCTAACCTCTTAGTGCCAAATTTCTCCCGTAAGTCCACCCACCCAGAACAAAAGCAATCAATTCTTTGTTTCACTTGAAGGTTTTATGTTTTTAGCCCATTTTTCTTTTTACACTAAAGTATTTTCAAAGTTAATTATTGCTATTATGGTGTGTTTCCTTAAATACTTCACTAAGCATCTCTATGAGGCAAGAGCATTTTCCTCTATAGTTAAATAACTATTAAATCTAAAAAAATGAATAGTTACATAAAATCATCTATTATCTAAGCCATGTTCAGATTTCCTAAACATCCTTGATGCTTGTTTTGTATAAGGTAGGATATAGTCCAGAATCACATTTTGCATCTATTGTGTCCTGTAAGTCTCTTTGAATCCATAACAGGTTTTGGGGTGTTTTTTTTCCCATCACAATGATATGCTGAAGAGACCAAGTTGTCCTATAGAATGTCCCACTTTCTGGATTTCTCTGATTATACCTTTGTAGTATAATTTAATTTGTTTCACTTGGCGAAATACGTAAGAGGCAATGTGCACGTGACATTGGATCATAACAGGAGACACCACAGAATATCTCACTGTCCCTCTTTTGGTAATACAGAAACTGAGCACTGGATTACGAGGGTGACAGCCCCATCCCTGCACTGTAAAATTATATTTTCATTTAGTGACTAGAAAATAAAAATTAGGAATAGCTTTTGTAGCAGACTGTGACGTACACTGAGGCTTATTCCTGACCAAAGCAACTGTGATAACATTTGCCCTCTAGGACTCTGGACCAGAAAATAGGGATACTTACATATTAATATTATAATAATTTATTATTGTACATCCTTAATTATTACAAAAGTCAGCCTAATATCTCACATGGAAGGAATAACTAGCCCTAAATGCATTTTTCAACTTCATTGGAAAAAGAAAACAAAAATGAAGGTTTTCTGATATGTTCTTAGCTCTGAGCCATGGCTCTGCTGGTTTTTTCCCCATAACTTTTCAGTTCAGTGTTATGTTGTTTTACATTCTTCTGCTTTTACAGGCTACGTCTTGATAGTTGGGTGTCTCAGCTTTACTGTTTGTTACAAGCACGGGCCCCTCGTGGAGGAGAGGAGCATGACCCTCTCGGCGTGGGCGCTGCAGCTCCTCTCCCTGCTCCTGGTCTACGCTGGCGCGGCCATTCCTCAGTTCGCCTATGCAGTGATGCTCCTCACCCTGTCGTCCAAGTTCCTGCACTACCCGCTGAGAGCACTCGCTTACGTGAGATGGTGCGTATCGTTTTTTCTTTTTTTCATCATAAATTTGACATTTTGAGTTCTGGTTTTATTTATTTTGGGGGGGGGGATATTTTGGACACATCATAGTTAATCTCACAGTTAACTCCACTTCATCTGGATATTTCCCTCTGAGAGGGGGACAGTTAGAGAACGTAATAAGCATCTGATTCCATCCCCATTGCTAGTCGTCGTTCATCTTTCAGAGGTGCACCACCAATTACTAGGTAATGACAACTCACCCAGAATTCACTAAAATCAGTGGCAAAATTACTTGGGCTCGGGGTCGCCTATAATTTCTACTTTCATTCTACGTTTCCCTTTTTTAGGGCCCAGGAGTGCTTTAGAGGTAATTGTGCATATGAGATAAGAGTTAGGGAACAGAAATGAATCACAAATGATTGAAAGTTATGATTTATATAATTCAGTTAAGCCTTTGGAAAGTACAGAAAGAAAGATGAGACAACTTCTGTTGTCACGGCTTTATGATGTCCTCAGTCATGGAGTCTGAGCACCTGTTTTTGTGTCAGGTGCACAGGTGAAGGAGATGGTCCCTACCCTTGAGGTGTACTTGTTGACACGTAGGCACGTTTCTGTAGCTCTGAAGTGTTAAAGTAGGCCTGCACAGGAACTGTGGTGTGTAGAAAAAGTTCAGGAAAGTTCCTGGAGGACGTCACTGGGCTGAATTTTAATGAATCAAAACAGCCAGATGAGTAAATGTAGGAAGGGCCTTCCTGACGGGGAGAAAGCCCAGTTTGGTACCATCACAGGGCCAGCGAGCGAGGTGGGTGTCAGCCAGGTCATGGAGGCATCACAGGCCCTGCTGGAGAATCTGATCTGATCCTGTAACGCGGCGGAGGCAGCTGACCGTTACGTATCTTCGTCAGTGCTCTCTGACTACTGCCTCGACAGGGTTAGAAATCAAATGCCTGGGGCCCAGAAGGTACTGAAGGAATGAGGCTGAGCAGAGGGAAGGCAGTGGTGAGGACTGTGTGAAATTCTACAACATTGCCTCCTTGAAAGGGGGTCAATTGCCATTCAGCCTGAGCTGACTGTTGCCATGTGGGAATGTGGGCCTTGCCTTGCCAGCTCTTCTGGTTTTCTAGAGAAGCTGGGAATGTGGATTAGAATGTAAATTCTGACAATGTTTAAATGTTGGCAACTAATCTGAAAATAAAAATACGTTCAGCAAGCAAAAATCAAAGCAGAGACCATGAACATGCCTCAGGCAGTAGGAGGGGCCCATCTGTCTCTGGCACAGAGGGTGGAGGTTAAGGGGAGGTTCCGGGGCAGGAGACCAGTCGTCAGACATCACAGCAATCCACGCAAGAGGTGATGAGGGCCTGGAGTAGGGCAGTGAGATCAAGGCAGGAAGAGGGAGTTAATAAATATTTACAAGGTAAACTTGGCTGTGAGGAAGGAGACTCTGTGGTAACTGGTAGTTTCTGGATCTGATGACTGCATGTGTGGTGACGTCACAGGGTTAAAATGCACCAGCGACAGGGCAGGGCCCCTCTGCAGAGGATGCTGGGGAGACTGAAAGGCAGCAGGATCGGGGGACTGATGCTGACTGCTTCCCCCTGCCCTGTCTCAGAGGTAGACAGTGACTGGGGGTCTCAGAGGTCCCTCTGCCAGGAGGACAGTGGCCACTACACATCCTTCAGACCTCTGGTCCTTTGCCAGGCTTGTGGCCCAAGGATCCCAAGAGAGAATTCCTTCCACTTTCCCTTTAAACATCCACTGCCCTGCCAAGAGCAAAGTGTGTTCTGTCACGGTGATCCTTTAATGCATTTGCTATGCGTTCTGTTAACACAAACGTAATGATCAAAATGTATTGTAACTTCCTCAGCTTTTCATCTTGCTAGTGAATAATTATGTGAAACATTAGGGGATAAAACAGGAACTTATAGGTTAAATAATAAACCAGAGTAAATACTTTGATTTGTATAGTACTTTCTAGTTTGCAAAGAGCTGTTTGAATATATTTTAATAATATATGGTAGCTCTTCTTTTGACTATCTTTGTTGAACACTTATTATAGACCACTCACTGTGCTAAAGCACTTGACACAAAATAATGTATTTCATCTGTACAGTGACCTCCTTGTTGCTTTCATTTTTTTCCATGTGAGCAAGGTGAGGCTCAGAATTGTGAAGGAATTGCCCCAGTTCACACGGTGGGTAAACCTCAAAGCCAGGACTGTGTCCCAGGCTTCTCCTCAGAGCCCAGGAGTTTTCCTCTAGGGAGACAGTCTAGGTATTCAGAAAAGGAGAAGGAAATCATGTCAGTGGTTCCCTAATTCAGCTTATCAACCACCAGACAATCAGTAAAAGTTTAAAGATTTTTCAGGTCCCAAACCTCAAGAAAATGTGTGTTTAAAAGACCTCCTGGTGATTCTGATGCTCATTTATATTTGGGAATCTCTGGTTAAATTAAATTTTAAACCACCTAAAAACATTTTTTTAAACTCATTGGTAAGTATAACATATATGTTAAAACCTTTTCATCATTACCATTTTTATGAGATTCTTCCCTTTAGGACTTTTTTGGTTGGAAAAAAATTCCAATCGTGAGCCCCTCAGCATGTAGCAAAGGAAGAATTATTATAAATGACTGTGTATACACGATCCTTGTACAGTGTTTACTTCCTCTAAGGTTAGTCAGAATCCCCACCACTAGGTGGAGGCGATATTCCACAAATCTTCCTGGCTTCTCTGTTCAGACTAAGTGGCAAGTGATTCTGCTAGGTCTCCATAAAAGGACATCTCAGAGGCTTGCTGCTAAGAAAATCAGCAGGGCAAGCATAAAGAAGCCAGACTTTTAACTGTCTGATTTGAAATCACTGAGGAAGAAAAATGCAATCAACATCTCTATCAGAAGTCAATCCTCAAACGCCGTAGGACATTATTTCAGATGGTCAAGGAAGAGGGGAAATGTACTGATAGGCCCAAACTACACGTTCTGTAAACCTCCGTCATGATAACAATAATAAAGTATAGTATGATATAGAGGAAGTTAAGAATTATTACCGTTACTGTTGAAGAAATGTATTTTTATAAATCTTAAGGGTTGAATTGAGCAACCAAATATGGCCAGGAATCTAGCAACCAAATGCCGCCTGTTTTAGGAAAATGAAGAAACGGTTTACATCAGAAAAGCCAGTGGTTAAGTTTCTTACTGAAGATGAGTACAGGGAACAAGCCGATGCTGCGACGGCCCGCGCCCTGGAGGACCTGCGCCAGGCCTGCTGCAGCCCCGGCTTCCCGTCCTGGCTGGCCGTCTCCAGGCTCCGGGCGCCTAAAACGTAAGCCCCGCTCCACTGCCCGCAACACAGCTTGGGTTGGGGTTACCATGAAAATAACATGATGGTTTGGATCAGATACTTCAGGCTAGAAACAGACAACTTCCCTGGATAGCAAATGACATGGAAGCTGTCAGAGTCGCTTTTGCTTCAGTGCTCTGCCTCGCCCTGTGTAAGTGCCAGTGTCAGAATAAATGTTGACCATATGTGTTTCATAGGGAAGGCCATAAAGATAACTCACAGGAGAAGGGAGACGGAATGGGATGTGTCACCTGCTTCTCTTCCTACGGGGGACGAAAAGTCATTTGTAAAGATCACCAAGAAAGACATCTCTGCCCCAGCATCTTTTCCCTACTGCTTTCCCTTCTTCCTAGCTTTATCCAAACAACAGTAACCTCAAATTAAAGATTGAAGGGGGAAAGTCTTGACAGTAAAATAATGAATAAATAATACGTTTAATTATTTATTAATTAAAGAAAGAGAGAAAGAAGGAATTAGAAAGCAGGAGTGGGTATATTTGGCAGCATTCGCTGCTCCTAAGTCTACCTACTTCTCGATCCTTTCCCTGAACGTCTAGAGAAGGATCACATAAGCCATTCCTGTTTTTACACCCACTGTGCAAATGCCATCCTCTATCGATGCAAAGTCAAATTTAATTAAAGGGGATAAGTAGCCAGGGAACATGTTATCTTCCAAATAAACCTCTCTGTGATAACATTAACTTTATTTAAAACAAATACTAGGTTTGCAGACTTTGTTCTTGGAGGAAGCCACTTGTCGCCTGAAGAAATTAGGCTGCATGAAGAACAATATGGCCTTGCGGGTGCCTTCTTGGAAGAGCAGCTCTTTAACCTGAGGACTCCTGACGGTCTGCCTGCACACTGACTTCATTCTGGACAAGGAAGTGGGGAAGGGCAGGGATCCTATTAAAGGTGGGCAGAACTGTACCGGGGAACAGTGGCAAAAGCATTCACTATGGAGAAAAATCAAGTCACACTGGAAAGGAAAACTAAACTGTATTGAAGATAACTGATCCTTCTTGGACAGTTCTGTGTATTGTACTGTAGGTGGCCACCAAGATTCTGTGACAGTCATTACCACTGTCCTTGAATGAAGACTCTCATTAGGAACAAAGGGATCATGTTGATCTTCAAGGGGCCAATTAATTTGAATAGGTGCCTTGTCAACTGCAGGGCATTAAATCCTCTCTTAATCCCCAGAACCTGTGTCAAAAGACTCTGCATTGCTCTTCCTGCGTGTTATCAATGTAAGTGCTGGAAGAGACCTGAGGTACAATGGACCAGTATTTTCCAAAGTGTAGTCCACAGGATGCTAATAAGTGTTAGTAGGTAAAGGAATCCTGAGGTCAACTAAGATGGATGCATGATTAAACAAACGTACTGCAGGACTTCTCAGAGCCTTTAATAATGCTAATGCACACTGTGAACCTCCTAAAGAGGAGAAATTGTGTGCAGCATTCTCCAACTTAATTTGACAACAGAACCCTTTTTCATGAGATTAATATTTCTTGGAACACATGTTTGGAAAATGCTGATGGTGGAGGAATGGAGGTTTCGGAAGGTTAAATAACTTGTCCAAGACCACAGGGCTTTTTAGAGGCAGCCCTGGGACTAGAACTCCAGCCCTACTGTTTCCAATGACTCAGGTAGAAGAAGAGATCTTTAGAAATGAGGCGCCATCTCGCCACAGCCTTGGGTCTCACAATATTCATGACTTATTTTTTATTTTTTAATAATAGCCAACTAACTGTTTGATAACTGTGATAAAGAGAAACATTTCCTATGGTTATATTTTAAAGTTTTGATAAGACTTTTATAGATATATATAAAGATTAGAATTTAGAATTACTTTTTACATTTTTTTGTATGTTGAAATTGAAGGCATTTAACCTCAAGTCGACTGGCCTATTTTATTTTTTTTTTACTCCCTAAATTCAGGTCTCAATAGTGTTCACACCTGAATTTCTACAACAATTTTGGTTTTTTTTTTTTTTTGGCTGCATTGGGTCTTTCATTGCCACACGGGGGCTTTCTCTAGTTGCGGTGAGCGGGGGCTACTCTTCGTTGCAGTGCACGGGCTTCTCATTGCAGTGGCTTCTCTTGTTGCAGAGCACGGGCGCTAGGCTCGCAGGCTCTAGAGCACAGGCTCAGTAGTTGTGGCACACGGGCTTAGTTGCTCTGTGGCACGTGGGATCTTCCCGGATCAGGGCTCGAACTCGTGTCCCCTACATTGGCAGGCGGATTCTTAACCACTGCACCACCAGGGAAGCCCCTCGACTGGCCTATTTTAAAAAATTTTTTAGTTATACGTGTTTGTAACAATTTCTTACAAAACCGATTTGTGATCTTTCTTATAGAGAACAAATCATTTTTCTTCTTGTGCTTCATGATTTTAGACTCCAGAGTGAAATGAGGGACTAACCATGAGCTTTGACCCTGAGGAACAGAGGCCAAAACATAGGTCTGGGAAAAGATCTGAACATGGCAAAACAATACAAGGGTTAAGATGTTGCTAACTTCATTTTAAGAATCAAACGCAGGCTCTTTTGCTGTGGTGGGGCCATAAAGAGTAGCAGCATAAAGAATGAGGAATCTCCCTTTTCTAGAAGGGTTATGGAGGAGGGACACACAGATCATTTGGGCACTGCTTTCCGGAACCAAATTTAGTATAGCGTTTTTCTAAATTCTTGAATAAGAGTGTGGCTGCCTGTTTGGAATTCTTTAGCTTTATTTCCAAATGATATTTCCTCTTTGAAGCAGTGTGTCAGTGTTTTACGGGTCTCTATTTTTGCCAGACACCTTTTAATATCGGGAGCTTTGCTATTTTTGTGAAATAACACTAAATTTAATCTGTGCTTTTACATAGACCTTGATATAAAAAATCAAAGTATCTTCCATTCAGATTTATGAAGGTGATGACTTTTATGAGTGTAAACAGTTATAATAGCGTTTTTGTTACCGTTTAATCTGATTTTTATTGTTTTATAATTCTATTTATTGATGCTGTATTATAAACATATCAGATGTTTGTGGTTGTGCTCACCAAGAGGCGGTGTGTGTACTACATAATGTGTGTGTGCATAACGTGTGCAGTCTGCTGGAGTTCCCAGGGGACATCCCAGCCAAGACAGCCACTGGGCCTCACCTGCGCCAGGGTGAACAGGTGCCGACAGTAGAAGAAAGCAGCTCCTGGTGGGCCAACAAGCTAGGTGTAGCTATTTTTTATTGTGATTTTTATTGCAATAAAAATAGCTAAAGGAAGAGAAAAAGAGCAACAAGAGGCTTTGGGGATATTGTTTTTCATTTTTACTTTTAGAGGAAACCATGGATTTGTCAGTTTCTGTTATGTGAGTACTGTGAGAAGCTAAATAATTAAAAGCATTGCTTGCGATACATTGGGCGTATTTCTGTTGTGCTTATTTGAATTGGGGTTTGTTATAGTGCTGATCATAGGTCTAGTCCCCATCAAGCAGTATGTATGTCAGCTCCTCTAAGAGATCTTTTTTCTCTGCTTCCCTTCTTCCCTTCCCCTGTCTATCCGTCTGTCTCTCTCTCCCCACCACCCTACTCCCTCTCTCCTCTTTTTCTTCATTTATTTAAAGGCCTTTAAACAATTTAAATGACCATTCAATAAAATGGTTATACCCTTCACAGGTTGTTGACAGTTGGTTCTGTGCCTCATGCCACCCTAGGTGTGCAGTTGTGGAGCACAACAGAACCTTTGTTGTGTTGGTGCACCCACGAGGTGCCTCACAGAAGCTCGCTGTTGTTAGCAAGTTGGACTGTTTGACCCCAAAACATATGAGTGAGATGTAGTGTAGCTCGCCATGCTTAAACAGTCATATTCAATGTATTTTTCAAAGGTTTTTAAAAAATATTATTTTTGGCCACGTTGGGTCTTACTTGTGGCACGCGGGATCTTTCATTGCAGCACGCCGGCTTCTCTCTAGTTGTGGCGCACATGCTCAGTAGTTGTGGCACGCAGGCTTAGTTGCCTCATGTCATGTGGGATCTTAGTTCCGCGACCAAGGATCGAACCCGCGTCCCCTGCGTTGGAAGGCAGATTCTTAACCAGTGGACCACCAGGGAAGTCCCTATTTTTTGAAGGTTTTAAAACACATTTTACATAGCACAAAAAATGCTTTGTCAGTTAGTTGTATAGTTTGCCAATAATACTTAGAGCTGAATTACAGGGGAGTGTCCATCTGACATTTAGGACAATACTTGAATTTATGACTTTTTAAATCTAGAAATTTATGAGATTTTAGATATTAAGAGATTTGGAATAGCTGACATCAAAACATGTGGAAGAATTAAGACCTCCAGAATGATGTCAAGAAAAGAAAAAGGATCTTATATTATTCTGTATGTGATTATTCCCCAGAGTTAGAGAAGTACAATATTTAAATCACCTTTTTCTTTTGTCCAACTGAAAGAAGGATCCTATGCATAGATAACATAATAGATGTGGAATTTTGAAGATTCCCCCACAGTGAGACAGGTTTGTTTTTTTTTTTTTAACATCTTTATTGGGGTATAATTGCTTTACAATGGTGTGTTAGTTTCTGCTTTATAACAGAGTGAATCAGTTATACATATACATATGTTCCCATATCTCTTCCCTCTTTGTCTCCCTCCCTCCCACCCTCCCTATCCCACCCCTCCAGACAGCCACAAAGAACCGAGCCGGTTTCCCTGTGCCATGCGGCTGCTTCCCACTGGCTATCTACCTTACGTTTGTTAGTATATATATGTCCATGTCTCTCTCTCGCCCTAACACACCTCACCCTTCCCCCTCCCCATATCCTCAAGTCTGTTCTCCAGTAGGTCTCTGTCTTTATTCCTGTTTTACCCCTAGGTTCTTCATAACATTTTTTTTTCTTAAAAAATTTCATATATATGTGTTAGCAGACGGTATTTGTCCTTCTCTTTCAGACTTACTTCACTCTGTATGACAGACTCTAGGTCTATCCACCTCATTACAAGTAGCTCAATTTCGTTTCTTTTTATGGCTGGGTAATATTCCATTGTATATATGTGCCACATCTTTATCCATTCATCTGACGATGGGCACTTAGGTTGTTTCCATCTCTGGGCTATTGTAAATAGAGCTGCAATGAACATTTTGGTACATGACTCTTTTTGAATTATGGTTTTCTCAGGGTATATACCTAGTCGTGGGATTGCTGGGTCATATGGTAGTTCTATTTGTAGTTTTTTAAGGAACCTCCATACTGTTCTCCATAGTGGCTATTTCAATTTACATTCCCACTAACAGTGCAAGAGGGTTCCTTTTCTCCACACCCTCTCCAGCATTTATTGTTTCTAGATTTTTTGATGATGGCCATTCTGACTGGTGTGAGATGATATCTCATTGTAGTTTTGATTTGCATTTCTCTAATGATTAATGATGTTGAGCATTCTTTCATGTGTTTGTTGGCAGTCTGTATATCTTCTTTGGAGAAATGTCTATTTAGGTCTTCTGCCCATTTTTGGATTGGGGTTATTTTTTTGTTATTGAGCTGCATAAGCTGCCTGTAAATTTTAGAGATTAATCCTTTGTCAGTTGCTTCATTTGCAAATATTTTCTCCCATTCTGAGGCTTGTCTTTTGGTCTTGTTTATGGTTTCCTTTGCTGTGCAGAAGCTTTGGAGACAGGTATTTTTATCTGACCCAGGAGCCAGCTGTTTTCTGTATATTTTGGATATTAACCCCTTGTTGGTCACATCATTTGCAAATATTTTCTCCCATTCCATTTTTCTTTCCCCCATAGGTTGTCTTTTCATTTTGTTGATGGTTTCTTTGCTGTGCAAAAACTTCTAAGTTTGATCAGGTCCTGTTAGTTTACTTTTGCTTTTATTTTTT